TGTTAACAGATAGAAGATTTCAGGCTCCCGTTTCTCTTCCAATCTCCTTGCCGGGAGAAATTCATTATTTGTATCTTTAAAATTTCTACAAAACTTAGTGTTTTCACTTGAGCCACACATCGATGTGTGCCCTGGATTAATGGCTTTAAAGCCTTTTTATATTTCAGAAATCGACGGATTCGATCGATACTGCGCAAAGCAGTGAGCCGAATGTGCCCAGCAAATCGGCACCCGTTCGATCAGCACTTGAAATGCTTGCACTCGAAATGCCTGAACTACCACTACCGATAACAGTGGATCCAATTACAGCGATCGAAATTGCCACACTTCGAAGACACCAGCAAAATCGTGAAAAACCCCTAACAACCTATGAAGTATGTCACACCGCGTTTATTTTGAGGACAAACGGGACTCTAGATACTGGGGTTTAGGCGACTCGGTGACGTAAAAATCGCCCCCAAGCAAAAGTATTGCTCCTTCAGCGTTTACAGCATTCTTGTTTCATCGTTGCGTTTCTTCTTGTACTTGAGGCACGAGCAGCCATAACTAAAATCAGAGGCGATGCGCATCGGACGAGCCCATGCGATCATGCGTTTTTCCAGTGTTTCGTGCTGTTGTAAGATCATTTGGAGCCCCAGTAGCTAGAACTTATGGCATATTGGTCCACAAAGTTCAGGAAGTTAATTGTGCAACTGCACGATACTTGGTCAACGAACATTCCCTCAAAATTTCAGCTTTCTGTCTTTCCTGGTTCGCGAGTCAGTAATTTTCCCGTCAAAACTTTCACGCGCTCATACGCGGGGCCTAGACATACGTGGGGGTTGACACTGCGGTCCTGGGGTGGCACTTGGCAGCGGAATCCACTGGCAAAATTTTGGTGCCGGAGATTGCTTGGTTGCCGAGTTTAAATACCCAAACGGGCGGATAGACAGACAGACAGACACACACACACACACATACGCACACACATACCGGGGTTGTTGCAAATGCGTTTTTGCAATTTGCATATGAGCAAAAATGCATAATTAGATTATCGAGTGATCAGCGGCTTGCGACCCTTTTTGCTTGTTTTCTTGTTGCTAAATCTGTTGTCTAAGTTAGAATTCGTGAAGTGATCCATCTCTTAGTCTTTTATGGCCCCCTCCGCTATTCGGAGCATCTCCCATTTGAAAAACCAGAAATAGGCATTGGCACTAATGGTCAATTACAAGCCCCCCCTGGGTATGTTCAAAGAACCCAAAAATTGGTTTGAAAAATTACACAGCAATTTTTTTAAACTTTTCAGCAGTTTCGAGCAGCAGCATTGTCGAATCGTCTGTCAACGGTGAAATGGACCGGACGATGTATTCCAGAGCGACGTGGCTTTGATATAAACCAAAAATTTCGCGGTAAAACGCTTGCAATTGAGGTAAAACAATCATTTTTTTGTGTTTCTTTGAGAATATTTTTTCCTTGAATGTAACTTATTTTCATGAAAGGACTTATGTATATGCTATTGATGATTTGTGACTTTTTGTTTAGCTGTGCGAGAGGCCATGTGGACCGCACCATGAAATTGATGATATGCTACAACAAATTGTGCAGGATGGAGCTCGTCTGGATTTGCCGGATGATACAAAAGGCCGTATACCGCTTCATTTTGCTGTTGAGGGCGAATTCTGGTGCCGTGTCAAAGTACTTCTACACTTGCGGTACTTTTTAAATTCGAGCTTTGAGAGGTTTTGGCATTGGGGCTTATTTCGGGTTTCGCAGAAACTTTTAGGATTTGAATAGAGGAGTGGGGGCTTTTTGAGTTTAGAAGTCATTTGGTGTTGCGTAATTGGATTCGGAGAGGAAATCTCACTCAGGTCGCCTGTGAATACGAGAGATAAAGATAAAAAGACCCCGCTGGAGCTGGCTCTGCTAAGTCGCGCCTCGAATTTGGAATTGACGAAAACAGTGTACTTGTTGCTGGAATATGGTGCTGATGTGAATGAAGTAATCAAGCGAGTGGCCCCTTTACGAAACAGGTACCAATTTTTCAAAAGTTTTTGGTGAAAGTAGATTAGATCAAAGCAGATATTCTGTTTATCTGCTAATCGATATTCTGGTTATCTTTTTGAAAACGAAAATCTTTTTTCTTGATAAGGGAGCAATTTTTCAACGAGTGACAGCTGTATAAGTTGTACTTGTGAATTCAAAGTGGTTAATTTTTTTTAAAATTAAGCCAACAGTTTTTAAATGATTTATAAAATAATTAAAAGTCTGTGTTACGGATAAACTGTAACATATTCATTACCACGGCAGCAGTCGAAAACTCTCCGCTTATTCACTTTCTGTGAGAGAGGAAGGCATTGTGAACGGAGTCTTTTCTCCAAAAATTGTTCTGTACCAGAAGGGAATCGAACCATTCCTCTTCATATCGGGCGCAACGCGTTACCACTACACCACGGCCCTTGTGGCAGGTTCAACCTCTCTATTTCATGGCAAGATACACCTTTCTTTTCTCCTCTTTTCTATTGTGGTGGCCTCTTGGCCGGCTTCGTGCGGGCTTTCCTGGACAGAAGTTGTGCGGAACTACCCGAGCAAGAGTTAGCAAAAATTATACGCTGACAAGGCTGTCAACATTCCTTCTAGGGATTCTTTTAAGTGAATTGATTCCTTGACACAAGCCAGTATTAATTTGTGTCGAAAACGAATTTTTAGCTTGATGAGGTCGGATCTTCGGCCGCAGTGCGAGAGGAGCATTGTTTCTTGATTTATGAAATCAAACTTTGATATTTTGCACTCAAAATTTGTCGAGGAAAAAAACTGAATTTTACCTACCTTGAGTTTTTCGTGCTGCTCTTTTTGAAGAATTTTCCATGCTTCAAACTTACTAAATTATTTGACGTATTAGACATTAACAATGAATTACTAAAATTGTCCTAGCTATCATTTTTTTAATATTTTATCCCTCATATTTTATCGCGTTCTACTTTTATCATTTTTTTCGCCCGATCGGATGAACTACATTTTTACAGATTTGTACCAAAGCTTGACGAGCATCAGCAGCGTATTATACAAATATTCGAGGAAGCACGAAGAAGGACACTGGTGTAAGTATTAACATTTCTCTGTTTTATCACCTACAGTTTTTTCCTTTCAAAGCAGATTGGGGAATCGTTATTAGAGAATTTCGCGTGCTAGGAGATATCACAGTGTTACTGGGAACTTTTATTTCCAATTCTGCTGGTTTTAAGGTTCCTTTCTAGCCCAGCACACCAATATCATCGTAGTACAAAACACCTGGGCTAGATATTAGAGGTTTTTGGAAATTTTCATTTTCTTTTTGTTCTCGAAAAATCAAGAAAAAATAAGCAAAGCTGGGAAGTCGAATTCCCCGAGTTCGTGCTAGTTCTGAGATGACTATTTAACGCTGGCCGAAGTATCAACATCGCATAGGAGTGATGTGATACGCAGCTGTAGTGGTCCATAAGACAATTCGAGAGGATTTGTGAGAATATTTTACTTTTTTGGTAGAATTTTCTGTTTTCTTTACTGCAAAATTTTGTGATTTTTCTTCATTTTTTCATTATTGACTCAGCTGCACACCACTAGGTCCAAGGGCATCACATTTGTAAGGCACTGTATTTTTCAGTGACCTGAAAGTATTTGCTGAAGAAACAGCAGTGTGGGGAAGGGCGAAGAGGGGGGAGGTGTGACCGGAGAAAAATTACTGCCAGATAAGCATAGATTTTCCATTTAATTGTACAATGTTTCGGATCCGGGATTTACAGGGATATAACGGTAAGGCGAGTACTGTGTCCGGTTGTGGTGCGAGCAATGTGGGAATTCGAGTTTAGCAACTGGACCACTGAGTTTGGTTTTAATTATGAAACAAGCCGGCTACCGAACGATCGCTATGGATATATGATATTGCTTGCCGCGTTCGATTATCGCAGCTCCAGATATGTATGTTTTGGCGTATTTTTAGTGTAAATTAAGATATTATAAAAAAATGAATCGAAAAATACTGGCGGGCAGAATCTTAACAAAAGTTCAAGATCTTATTGGGCCGCCGTTCCTGACCCTGGTTGCTACCCCCTTCCATTCCCCACAAGACCTTTGAGGCCCGTACTGGCTTTTACTTCAGTTTATTACCTCACCTCATTTGATCGGAAATTTTTTCGTTACGCACTTGCGACACAAAATCAAACATCGGCATACAGGACAGACTTCATGTGATTCAATCGGCATTTGCCCTAGCTCGACTTTTCAGACTTTTGCATTCAGTGGTACTCCTTATACTGTCACAAAGTTCGCTTTGCACCTTAACTGTTCAGGATGTGATTTGAGATGTTTTTTTTTTTTTCATTCTGATCTTCCTGTCTCCCTCAAGCATGGGTGGAACTTGTATATTTATGTATGTGTGCATGTATGTATGTGTATATGTATGTGTTTGGGTATGTATGTGTGTGTATGTATGTATGTGCGTATGTATGAACGAATGTATGTATATATGGCCCTTCTTTTTCCTTTTCTTTTTACTTTTCCTTGCATATTTTACTTTTCTTTTCCTTACGTACTTTTATATTTTCCTTTTTTCCCATATATTTTCCTTTTCCCCTACTATTACTTTGATTTCTGAATTAGATGTTTTTATCTTAATTAATTTATTACCTTACTAAATTATTGTGTTACCACAGTCATCGTACTGACGAGGTCCAGTTGTGGTAACGGTAAGAAATGTATACAACTTAATGAACCGAAACATTTCTTATCTATAACAAATATTTTTTATACCCCTTACTTAATATCCTTTTCCTCTTTTCATTGTTTCCTTCTTCTCCTGATATTCTCTTCTTAACTTTTAATATGTATGCATATGTGTATATGTATGTATTGAAAATTACCACTTCGTGCTCCCAAAGCTAAATAAGGTAACATCTTATCGGCTGAAAATTCTTAGTTATATTTTATTTGTCTTGCGAACCCTATTTTGTTGCATTGCAGTGGCGTGTCAGAATGTGGGGTGAAAGTCAGTTCGCGGATGTGCAAGTGAACGATCGACCAGTGCAGTCGCTCTCTTATGATTCGCATGGATATATCTATGTATCAAATTTGATCAACGGCTGGAACAGGGTGAAAATTCGGTTCCATCCATTTGTGAAGAAAAGGAAACTGTTACTTATGGCGCAAGTATGCAAATTTTTCCTTGTTTTTAGGTCCATAGAATTTAAAAGTCGGGTTTTGTGGAGGCCGTACTGAGCTCCGATTGGGGGCAGCTGAAAATCGAAGTCTCCTATCCCTTCATCGAGGCAGTATTGTTGTTACTATGTAAACGAATTACTTTATTTTCGCAGAATTTGGTAGATAAATTTTCTAGTGAAGTAGAAAGTTGCATTTCAACGCTTTTGATCTAGGGATCAGAGATCACATTCATATAGTGAACTGAGATTGTTTAAAAATTTCTTATTCTAATGGATCAGATAAGTTTGCAGCCGATGTTTCATCCCTTAGCTGTAAACACAGAACACTGTAAGTCGTGGCATATGATGCCACAATGAAATAAATCTGTTGCAGGTTTTGCTCATACAGTTACACAAACCGGCACTGCACGTAGCACCACCGGCACTGGAACTGGCGCCAGAAAGTGGCACCGATTGGAGACATGACTGAAAAAAATGTTTCCTTGGAAATTTGCATATAATTTTTCTTCGTATGTGTATCGTCTCTATTGTTATAGTTCAGAATTTACCAAAATCTTTCGAATTTAGAGAACAGTGCCTTTGCCACTTAATTGGTGAATATTTTTGGAGATATTTGAAATTATGTGAAGTAAATTTGTTGAGGTATGAGAAAGTTACCTGGTAATGTTTCGTGATTTTCAGGTAATTTTGCATGCATGTCCCTTTGCTCTCCCTTCTAAGTATGCTAGCTTTTGTTTGAAAAATTACGAAGAGAATTCAGGAAGCATTGCCGTCAGAGGGTAACAAAAATTTATTCAGTGGTAGGGAAATTTTCTAATAGAATTGAATATGCGTTATTCTTTCAAGTTAAGGTACAAAAATTAGCTAAAAAAGCGGCCCTAAAATTATCGGGATACATTAGGAAAGCGAAAATCTTGTGGAGAGGGATGTTGTTTTTTCGTTCTTTTTTAGAGAGAATTGCGCTTTTCTGTAGATTTGGGTAAGCCAAACTTGTCACAGCACAGGGATTATCTTAACTGCTCTGGTTAGCTTCAGTGGCTGCTTCTTCATTTTTTGGGTTTGTTGTAATGTAGTATTTTGTAATAATTTCTATTTCTCGATGTGAAGTAGGTGATAGATTTTCACTTTTGTTCCTCAAAAAATTAAATTTGGCATAAAAATTAAATTTAGCATGAATGCAAGGATCGCAAGGCACTGGCTCTCTCACTAACAGAGCTGGATCCTGCTTTCTTAAAAGTATTTATAAAGGCAGGGATTTCGACTCTGTTGCTGGGATAGTCATTGCCTTGCGAATTCCTTTTTTTGTCTCAACGGTAAATTGATATTGGCGCATGTCAGAGATTGAAATATATCGTCAGCTTGTTTTTAAATATTCACTGGAAAAAGGAATCATCAACAGTTTTACCGGCGAGTGGTTGCTGTTGTCATTCGGGCTACTTCCGAGCGCTTTCACCTCACAGATTATGAATACGGGAGGGTTTTTGACTTTGAAAGGTTTACACAAGTTGGAATGAAGCTGATGGCGGAATTCCTCGCTAGGAAGTGTTGTTTTTTGAGAAGATTGCGTCCTCTTACTTATTTGGATAAGCCAAATATGTTAAAGCGTAAGATAAGCTTAATCCTTGATTGCTTCGCTAACAGTTTCTACTGTGATATGCTTCTGTTATAGGTATTTTCCTCGTTTTGAACTAGAAATTACAGGTATTTACTTTTGTTCTTCGAAAAATATAACAAAATCTAGTAAAAGGTATTTTAATACCTGAGTAAAAATAAAAATTCACTTTTTTCCCAAGAAGTAAACGATTTTTTATAAAATTCAATTAGTAAATCAGCGAAGAGATACGAAAATCATTTTTCGTCTGATGGTTGTCCTTCTCCCCTGTCTTGGCAACATCATCGCATTTAGGTCTTTCGTTTCTTCGCTATCTGTTATTTCGTTTCCCGGCTGAGAGCTCATCGTGTTATTGTATTATCTCTACTTTTATTTCATGTTTTTCAACTTGTAATTTGGTGATCCGAGATGTAAAATTAGTTTCGATGAAGGGGAAAATACTGGCTCTTTTTATTACAAAAGTGAAAAAAAAAAATTCTGCATTATTTATTGTACTGACAAAAGAGATATGCGTCTACACTCAGTGCTGTAGTAAAGATGCGACACTTATGTGTGCGTGGTGGTCGTTGTGGCATGTTGGCTAGCAACAGCCTGTATCATTACAAGCAATGTAAAGAAAACAAAAACAAGTACGCATATCGTGTAGAAGTACAATTTATTAACTAGAAACAGCCAGTATGTGGGTGTGTGACAAGGATCCACAAAAATAATTCAAATTTAAATATTTTATGGTTATGGAA